ACACCTACTGGTGGTTGTGTCTAACCTCGAGATCCTATCCTGCCTCTCGTGGAGAGCTTGTCCGACAATCATAGTTAAGACTCCTCATCTCCATCCCCCTTCTTGCCCATCCGACGTTTCGATCGGTACACACAGACAAGATGCTTTCCCGTCGCTTGCTACCGCGCTCTGCCGTAAGGTCGGCTTTCAAGCAGTCTTCGTGAGTTCCAATGCCTCAATCCCTTTTGCATTCTTCTGGAACCCCCCTTACGCCCAGTGTTCTTGGTCTGCCGAGCTCGTTGCCATCACCACCCGTAAATCACTCGTGTCGTTCGTCGCTGACTAGGTACCAGTCTGCCTGCCGTTACTGCTCCCTCCCAACTGTCGCGATGGAGCCGCACATACGCGTCCGCCTCTGGTTCGTTGCCCTCCATTCGAGCAAAGCCTCGAAGCAGTTATTTTTCTTGGCCCCAGCCGTGCTGATAGTTTCGTGAACAGAGGAGAAGGACTTGATCATCATTGGTGGTGGCGTTGCTGGCTACGTCGCCGCCATCAAGGCTGGACAGGAGGGCATGAAGGTACTGCGCATCCCTAGGCACCTCTCCCACAGACGGCACGCTAATCTTATGCCTCTCAGGTCACCTGTATCGAGAAGCGCGGCACCCTCGGCGGCACCTGCCTCAACGTCGGCTGCATTCCCTCCAAGGCTCTCCTTAACAACTCTCACATCTACCACACCATCAAGCACGACACAAAGAACCGCGGCATTGATGTCAGCGACGTCAGCATCAACCTCGAGCAGTTCATGAAGGCGAAGGACACCGCTGTCTCGGGCCTGACCAAGGGTGTCGAGTTCCTCCTCAAGAAGAACGGCGTCGAGTACATCAAGGGCGCCGGCTCTTTCGTCAACGAGCACGAGATCAAGGTTGAGCTGAACGACGGTGGCGAGACCACTGTGAAGGGCAAGAACATCCTAATCGCGACCGGTTCCGAGGCTACTCCCTTCCCCGGCCTTGAAATTGACGAGAAGCGCGTTGTCACCAGCACTGGCGCCCTCAAGCTCGAGAAGATTCCCGAGTCTATGGTTGTCATCGGTGGCGGTATCATTGGTCTCGAGATGGGCTCCGTCTGGTCCAGGCTGGGATCCAAGGTTACCGTTGTTGAGTTCCTCAACCAGATTGGCGGCCCTGGCATGGACACTGAGATCTCTAAGGCCACCCAGAAGATCCTGAAGAAGCAGGGCATCAACTTCAAGCTCGGCACCAAGGTCGTCAGCGGTGACGCTTCCGGCGAGAAGGTCCAGCTTCAGGTCGACTCTGCCAAGGGCGGCAAGCCCGAGACCGTAAGCACATGTCCTCCTGGTTCCATGTTATGGTCATAATAGCTAATCGACATGCCTTTAGATTGACGCCGATGTCGTCCTTGTTGCCATTGGCCGCAGGCCCTACACCGGTGGACTCGGACTCGAGAACATCGGTATGGAGCTGGACGACCGCGGCCGTGTCATTATCGACTCGGAGTACCGTACCAAGATCCCCCACATTCGTTGCGTCGGCGATGTTACCTTCGGTCCCATGCTGGCGCACAAGGCCGAGGAGGAGGCTGTCGCTGTTGTCGAGTACATCAAGAAGGGCCACGGCCACGTCAACTACGCCGCCATTCCCTCGGTCATGTACACCCACCCCGAGGTCGCTTGGGTCGGCCAGAGCGAGCAGGACCTGAAGTCCCAGAACATTCCCTACCGTATCGGTACCTTCCCGTTCAGCGCCAACTCGCGCGCGAAGACCAACCTCGACACCGAGGGTATGGTCAAGATGCTGGCGGATCCTGAGACGGACCGCCTGCTTGGTGTTCACATTGTCGGCCCCAACGCCGGCGAGATGATTGCTGAGGCTACGCTGGCTCTCGAGTACGGTGCGTCCAGCGAGGACATCGCTCGTACGTGCCACGCACACCCTACCCTCGCCGAGGCCTTCAAGGAGGCTGCCATGGCCACCCACTCTCTGCCCATCCACATGTAAGGAGAGTGATCTAGGACGTTGGACCGCCAAGGCTCGAGGGACTCGGGAAAGGGCGAAGAAGACATAAAACAGGAAAATGTATTGCGTCAGAATGGAGGAGGCGGCAAGATAGACGATGGGATCATAGGTAGAGCCAGGGGCGTCTTTCTGGCTTCGCGTATTCAGACTAGCACGCAGGATGCGAGTGTACCAAGGTCTCGGACGCTGTGTACAGTATAATGCATCTATGCTTTCGTCACCAGAACCTACGGAACGTTGTTGGGTCGCCCCATGAAACTAGGACGTCGCCGTGATCGGGGAAACCATCATCCGCATACCGGTTAACAGGGCACGCCGGACAAGGACACTGCCGCCCTGGCCCGAAGGCCATCGCTGAGTACGGATATCGTCGGTACGACTGTCGTGCCAGGCCACCATGCTGGTCGACCGACCAGTAGCTGCTATCGTTTCCACAGCCGCTAACAAGTGGACCAGTGACTGGTCCATTGAGCTGGCTATACGCTCACTAAGTGTCAGGATCATTACTGCGTTCCTGCGAGGTCCATGGCCTTGCAGGTGGTGGTCTTCTCTGCACTAAGCTTACAAGTTGATGGGAGCTGCCATGTGATGGTCATATTGCCCACATTGGTATCGATACTGCTCGCAGTCTACAAAGCCCCCAGTCTGTCAGTCTGCGCGGCGGAACTCCAGGGTGCGCTTACTATTGTGCAGTCCCGCATGATGGCCGCCTTGGGCTGGGTTGTTGACGATGACAATGGGTGTCTGTCTCACGTTGCAGGGGTGATAACATGCCATGATTAATTGCGAGGTGTCTTCGAGGCGGCAGGTTCTGATGCGACAACAGTCTACGATCAGGTCATGATGAGTAGAGATAGCGATAGACGGCCTTTTGGACAGACAACGGTTCATATAGATCATGATGTGACACGACGATTGTTTGCCTTGAGAGTTACAGGATCACAAAGTACCTTTGACTGTCGGTACATCAACAAACAATGCGAATCGTGTTTGCATTCGTCTGGCTTGATGCGCCAGAAAACTATCCTGTACAGCTGAACAAGGCAGTGCTGCAGCGAACTTATCTCCGGAGCCTTGAAGCAAGGTACAGGCCGATCGATCTGCTTGGGAAGGGTAGGGAGACAGCTCAGGCACGTACGGAGGCTCCCAGGCGCTTGTGCGGGACCCGCTCACAAGTTGACACGCTAAAGTTCCTTTTGTTCCGCCTAATGGGGGCCGTGACTATGACGATCATCCAGGTACCCTCTCAGACCTTACCTGAAAGAGGTCGGGCCCGTTGAACTGTCCGTCCCTGGCGAATGCATGGTCCCATCAGCTACCGAAGATCCGAAGAAATCGACTGTTGGACACTGTCGACGGGGTCTGATCAGGCACGCAAGGAATCAAGGCGTGGTCCTGCACTCGAACCGGATTGGAGATGCCATAGCAGCCACGGTGGTCCACGCATGTGTGTCTCTGAGGTGGTCCAGCGCTACCCTAACATCGGTCGCAACTTTGCTTCTGCTCTCGACTTGTGGTCCACCACTTCATCTGTCACTTATCGTCAATTCGTTTAATTACAGTCGCCCTGGACCGCTCGTACCTTCCGCTCGTTGTGAAATTGCGCGATGGACGCCCGCAAGCATCGAGATTTACCCCTCCTGTCTCGACGGCAGGTGGAAGGGCTCATCGCGAGTGGACGCACCATTATCATCGTGGACGAACATGTGTTGAAGGTCGACGCATGGCTGAAGTACCACCCTGGCGGTGACAAGGCCATCATGCACATGGTCGGTCGTGATGCCACGGACGAGGTTACAGTGTACGAGTCTTCCAACCTACCACCGGCAGCCGACTGCACGCCATCTGTGCTTTGCTCATCCACCGTACTAACGCGTTTCTTCATTGCAGGTTGCATTCCCCGGAAGCAAGAGAGCAGATGATGCGCTACCGCATAGGCCGAGTAGAGGGACGATGGGAGAACTTCTTACCACCAATCCAGGGAGGGAGCTTCCGCGATATGGCCACAGAAACACCACAGGGCGAAGAGCAGACTTCCACCTCCAGTGATACCGACTCGCGCGAAGCCTCACCCGTCTTTGATGCTGAAAAGCCCCTTGCTCACCGCCGACACAACACCACAACCACCAACACGAGAGGCCACTCCTCGTCGGCCAGCTCAGTATCGTCGCATGACGATGACCACAAAATGACACCCACGGGGTTCCTAGACGCCCAAACGAAAAAGGAGATCAGCCTGGACCTCGATCGATACCCGTCACTCGACATCAAAACACAACACGAAATTGTTGTCAAATATCGTCTCCTCAACAAAAGGATACAGGCGGAAGGGCTTTACGACTGCAATTACCTTTCCTATGCCATCGAGATGGTGCGCTACGCTCTCCTCTTCAGTGGCATGCTACTCTTCCTGAGCTGGGGTTGGTATGTCCCGAGTGCCATGTGTCTTGGTATCTTTTGGCATCAACTTGTCTTTGCCGCCCATGATGCAGGTCACATGGGCATTACTCATGATTTCCACATCGACACATGCATTGGCATCTTCATCGCCGACTTCCTGGGTGGGTTGTCCTTGGGCTGGTGGAAGCGGAGTCACAATGTTCACCACATTGTCACCAACTCCCCCGAGCACGATCCAGACATCGAGCACATGCCCTTCTTCGCCGTTTCCCACCGACTTTTGGGCAATCTCTACCCGACGTACTACAACCGACTGATGAAGTACGATGCATTTGCCAAAGTGATGCTATCTGTGCAGTCCAAGACGTATTATCCGATCATGCTGTTCGGCCGCTTCAACCTCTATGTCCTCTCCTGGGATCACCTGATCGCCGGTCGCGCACCACGGCACGGACCGGCGTGGTGGCATCGTTGGCTCGAGGTGGTCGGCCAAGCGTTCTTCTGGGCTTGGTTCGGGTACGGCATCGTGTATAGGTGCATCCCGACGGCCTGGGACCGGGTTGTCTTCGTCATCGTGAGCCACATGCTGCAGGCGCCGCTGCATATCCAGATCACGCTCTCTCACTTTGCCATGAGCACCGCTGATCTGGGGCCGGCCGAGTCCTTTCCCCAAAAGATGCTTCGCACCACCATGGACGTGGACTGCCCGACCTGGCTAGACTTTTTCCACGGCGGGCTGCAGTTTCAGGCGATCCATCACCTGTACCCTCGCATCCCGCGCCACAATCTCAGGCGGACCCAGAAGTTGGTGCAGGAATTCTGCGTCGATGTCGGTATTCCATACGCACTCTATGGCTTTGTGGACGGCAACAAGACCGTCATCGGCAAGCTCGCCGAAGTGTCCCGACAGGCAGCCATTTTGGCAGAGTGCCAAAAGCATGTCGCGAGTCACGAATAGCATGACGACTTGATCAGTACATGATGACGGCTCGTTGTTCATGAAGAGGTACTCACTTCAGCACGAGCAGCTCTGTTTGACGATGATACGGATGCTTAATCTGGGTAGATGAATGTACCATGTATATAGAGATAGTATGAGAGCTACATTTCAGGAAGTGATCAGTATCACTATGGCAATATCTGACATGTCTGCAGCGTGTCAGCTTGCAAGTTCGTCTGCCTAGGGTTCCGATGTTGCTGCGCACGTTTGCTACCATGTTGGCTCGCAAACCGAGACGATTTAAATTTGCCAACGCTCGGGACTTTGGAGGCCTGCGACATCCCATTCCCAGCTAATTGGTGGCCGGTGCTGCCCATGTCAGTGAGGTGGAAGGACCAGGGTGGCTCCCCATCCTTGCCGCCATAGTGACCTATGTGTTGCTTCCAAAAGGCTGTCACTTGTCCCGTGGGCTTGGTACCGTCTCCATAGTCCACCCTGGTCGCCAGGAAGGCGGAAACGGGAACCCAGGTTCAGGCTGAAACAAAGGGCCCAAAAGACTATTTGCCGTCCGTACCTGTTCCTGTTCGATTCGTAGGTACACCAAACGGTGTCTTTGATCGTATCTGCTTTGAGGAGTCCCACTCCCCGCCCACGTCCCTCGTCGGAACAGAGCAATGTTTATAAGCTAATCACGTTCCCACCCACCTTTCAGGGCAAAGAGCAGCAGTGTAGTCGCATTCGGGCCCGCCCAGGAGAACAGGGCGCGAGGTCCCCGCGGCGATATATGGCTGCCCAAGGCGGAAAAAAAGAGAGGCAGAAGCACACGAAGTGACGGTGATCAACCAGTCGTATCTCGCAAACAATTATGATTGTCGCCGTGTTGCGACCCCCCTCCTCCGAGGCAGCCGGGAAGAGGGCAAGATTTGGATCGCTGGCCTGACCCTGGTCGTGAGCAAATGATGCGTGAGGCCCTCGCAGGAATCCGAGAAAGAAGCAAAGGCCGCCCGCCAGGAAAGCTCTCGCAAGGCCCTGCTCATCCCACCCCTGGATCTAAGTCAGCCCGCCTTTCCCCTCCCTCTTCCCTCCCCGTGCCTCCCCTCAACCACCCCCCCGGAACATGGCCTGGCGTCAGAGAGGGGGGGCAAAAGCAAATTGGTGAAGATGCAGGGTACGCAAGGGCGAGCGGGTATAAGAGACGAGTCGTTGGCTGTTGAAAGGACGTGTTTGAAAGTCACGATGTTTGCCGGGGATTCCATTACACGAGACACTGCAAACCTTGACACGGCGAGACGCAGTCAGCTGCAGAGCTTGAGAGGGCCAGCACTCGACTCCACAGCTTGCAGACAAAAGGGTAGAAGGCGCCCTCCATAGGCACCCACGGATAGGCGATCCTCGACCGAAAGCCATTCGCTTTCGCAGCTTCACTTCCTCAGACTCATCCTACGACTTGGCCATGGGGAAAAGTAAGATGGACGAGGCCGCGGCGGCGAGAATTCGAAAGGCACGAGGGGAGCAGGTAAGCAACCCCAAGCAATGCCAACCTCCAGCAAGGCCTGGCGCAAAGGGCGCCGAGGTTGGGAGGACCTGCCGCTGACTACATTGGTGGCAGGATGAATTCGCTAGACGAGCGGCCGTGGCGGCGAGGACGAACAAGGACAACAGCGCCGGGGGTCAAACAGAGCAGCGAGGTGGCAGCGGGCAGAGTGGTGCCAGTGAGTCCAGCGGTGGAAGCCAGCGGAAATGATAAAACGGCCCGAGATGATCAGGCGTGACGTGACGCAGGTCAGGTCGGCGCGGATTGGAACCAGGGGTCAGGATCCGAGTCCCAGGAGGCTGGATCATCATCCACTCTCAGGGCCCCCAGTTTGCCAGGGTCGAGCAGGGTACTACGTCGAGCACATCACGGCACTTCAGCCATGGCAACACGGGCAGGTACAGCGAGGGCATCAAGCTCGGATACGATGGATGCGTCCTGGGTGCATTAGAGTGAGAGAAGGGCGGGCTGTCATGAGGAAGTGAAATGGGGGAACGAAGTCAGAAAGTCTTGCTCCAGAGGGGGCCGAAACACACCATACCGACTGCTTATAGTGACCCTTGCTCGCCTCCACAACCCACGCTGCTGGGACAGCTTCGGCATCTCCCTGGAAGCTCGTATGAGCATTCTTTTCCCTTACCTCTCTGACGGTCAAAAAAGGATGGATATGTAGATAAGCAACAAGACCCTTGTCGGATCACCCCACGGCCGCAACCGAGATGATGAAGTGGGCCGGAGAGGAAGCGCTTCGGTTGGCCTTCGTTTGCCTTCGTTTGCCAGGCTGTGCCGGGCTCAAGAGTACGTACCTGCTTGTCAGCCTTTTCCTCGCCCAGCCAGCCAGCCAGCCAGTCAGTACCTGAGGTAAGCAGGGAGCCGACACGGATAGGTTGCACCTGAGCTTTCGTCACATCCTCAACCTCCACTTCATCCAGCCTTGAAAGCACATTCAAGCTCCAATCTTCGTACATCTAAGGCCCCTAGCTCGCAGTCATTGCTTTTCAGCTACACCTCAATTTCCTGAAGCACTCTGTGTTTCTCTCGCTCTCTGCGCTCCCGTCGAACCGTTGCGTCGTCTTGCCGCCCCGATAAGCACTCAACGCTCGCGCTAGTCTCATCCTCTCAAGCATGACCTAAGTATCCCCGCGACAATGGACGCCAACGTCCAGAGACTCTTGAACGACAAGCTCTATGACAAACGTAAAGTCGGAGCGCTCGAGTAAGTGCATCTCTTGCGAGGCATCTCGAGCAAAATGAAACCCGCTTCCTGAGTGCGTCCCGTTCGCTGATCACTGGGGCTAGGTTGGAACGCGTCATTCGGGATCTTGTAGCCTCCAAAGACTACAACAGAGTTGAAGCGATCCTTGAGCAGCTTTGCAACGAGTATGCATATGCGGTTCATCAGCCCCATGCCAGGAATGGCGGCTTGATCGGCTTAGCAGCGGCTGGAATCGCTCTAGGTTCAGTGCGTCGCCCCCCCCCCGGCCGAATAAGAGCCTCTGAGGCCTCTACGTCCCCGCTGCCCCTTTGAGTGTGTTGCTCACAACTTTTCTCTCGCCAGGAACTAGCTCGTTACTTGGCCAAGATTGTCCCGCCTGTACTCGCATGCTTCACCGATCAGGATGCCAGAGTGCGGTATTACGCCTGTGAGGCCATGTACAACATCGCCAAGGTTGCGAAAGGCGAGATATTGATCTATTTCAACAACATTTTTGATGCTCTTTGTAAAGTAGGGACTATCGCTAACACTTGTCACTGCCGTCCTTTGCTGATATCCTTGCATAGTTAGGCGCTGATTCTGAACTGTCAGTGAAGAACGGAGCGGAACTCCTTGATCGGCTTGTCAAAGATATTGTCTCCGAGTCGGCAGCCTCTTATGTCTCTGTCCTCGAGACCGAGCCTGAGTTTGGCGGGCCAGAGAAAGACTTCAGCGAGGACCGGCCTCGTCCTCCAACTGCCTTCTCCCTACAGCGGTTCATCCCACTTCTGAAGGATCGAATATGGGTTATAAACCCATTCACTCGCCAATTCCTCGTAGGCTGGATCACTCTTCTAGATTCTATCCCAGACCTTGAGATTGTCACTTTCCTCCCCGACTTCCTCGCCGGCTTACTTAAGTTCCTGAGTGATACCAACAAGGACGTGCAAGTGGCCACACAGGCCTGCCTGAACAAATTCCTCAACGAAATCAAGAGAATCTCCAGGGTCAAGAAAGGCTTGGCGGAGAGCAAGAAGTCTCGAGAGGGCGGCAAGAGGAAACGAGAGGACTCTGTTGATTCAGGCAGCCTCCGCGATGGCCTGCAGGAAGGCGACGAGATTGACTCTCAGATGTCGGGGGATGACGACGATGTGAGCGCCGAAGAAGACTGGGTGCCTGGGCAGGACGTCCACATCAACTACCGAGAGATCCTCGATATTTTGACGGCGACCTTGGACTCTCCACTAGGTACGTTAAGACACAGCCCCTCCCTCCCCAATAATGCGAAGCAAGTATCTCATTACGTATGGCAGAAGACGCAACGTTACCCGAGTCACTGCGCTGGATCGTTGAGTTCCTCGACATTTGTCCAGAAGAGGTTTTGCCGTTCACGCCCAAGGTTCTTGCGCACATGTTGCCCGCCATGGCAAGTGGCTCAGAATCGATTCGTCAAGCCGCAGTCCGGGTCAACAGTGGTCTGTTGGACTACGTTGTGTCATTATCGGATGAACCCGATATGGGAACGCAGTATCACCACCAATCACGCCTGCCAACGTTCGGAGAACGGCCGGATGGCACTGTTAGTGCTCGTGCCTCCCTTTCCAGCTCCCGTGAGCTCGATGTACGAAGTCCGACGCCCGCCCATAATCGCTCCATCTCAACACCCAGCGCTGTTCCGTCTTCAGCCCACCCACAGGCGGATCTTGACTACGCAGCTGCAGTCAGCGCTCTTACGTTGCTCTTCCTCAACGATCATGAGGCTACGAGGGTGGCTGCCTTGACGTGGCTTATCATGCTGCACAGGAAAGCACCGCGCAAGGTACTAGCATTCAACGATGGAACCTTCCCGGCTCTGCTCAAGACGCTGTCTGATCCAGCAGAAGCTGTCGTGACCAAGGATCTGCAACTGCTATCCCAGATTTCACGCAATAGCGAAGACGACTACTTTTCCAACTTCATGGTCAATCTCTTGCAGCTTTTCGCTACAGACAGAAAGCTGCTTGAAACCCGTGGAAACCTTATCATCCGACAGCTCTGTGTCAGTCTTAGCGCCGAGAGGATCTACAGAACACTGGCAGACTGCATTGAGAAGGAAGAGGATGTTGAATTCGCCAGCATCATGGTACAGATTTTGAACAACAACTTGATTACCGCACCAGAGCTGGCAGATCTTCGGAAGAGGCTACGCAATCTCGAGACAAAGGTACGTCAGCCATATTTTGCAGGGAATCGGCCTGGACTGACGTAGATTCAAGGACGGTCAAGCTTTCTTCGTAGCTCTCTTCCGCTCTTGGTGTTACAACGCCGTTGCGACATTCTCGCTATGCCTGCTGGCACAGGCATACGAGCAAGCATACAACCTCTTGCAGATATTGTCAGTTTGCAGCGTCTGGGGACACATGTAAGACGAAGTTGCTAACCAGGCATAGTGCGGAATTGGAGATGACCGTGAATATTCTTATTCAAATAGACAAGCTTGTACAACTCATCGAATCACCAGTATTCACGTGTAAGTTGTCCCACGCCTTACCGCCGACTTGCGTGGGAAGCTGACATGCGGTGTGCCGCACCTCAGATCTCCGCCTCCAGCTCCTGGAGCCTGAAAAGTTCCCATATCTCTACAAGTGCCTCTACGGACTTCTTATGCTTCTCCCACAGTCATCCGCCTTTGCTGCCCTCAAGAACCGCCTCAACAGCGTCAGCTCGATTGGCTATCTGCATATCACGCCTAGGCCAACGGCGTCAACGTCAGCTGGTGCCAATTTCGACAGACCCAACAGGCTCAAAGGGCGAGAAGAAGCCATTGTTAAATGGGGCGATCTGTTGGAAAAGTTCCGAAGTGTGCAGGAGAAAGCTCGGCGGACGCAGAGGCACGCCGGCGAGGGTCTCGACGATGGCGCCCCGCTGGGTGTCGGTGACATTCGACTTGGTGACGGACCAGAAATGAAGGGAGGATCCAAGGACACACGCAACATGCCGGGGCCGCCAGTCCCGATGAAAGACTCGTCTACGGTCCCTCCGCCGGTACCTCCGGCTGCTAAGCGGTCCGGTCTCGGGAGGCAGCTGGGCAGATTTGGTGGCGCTGTGGCCGGGAGGGGAAAGCGACCTTGATGGATGTCACCATGGTCGCAGATGTATACTTTGATCAACGAAGCTAGAGTCAGTCCATCGGAGGAAAGACCACCTTTAGTCATCATGATCTTTTCCGGGGACTCTCACGTTCCACGAGACTCTCGAAAACGGCATCTCTTCGGCGTGTGAGTGATTGAAGTTCGCTGCGTAAAGCTTCCAGTTGGTCTCTGGCAGCATCAGCGTCGTCAGGAAGGCCGGCAAAGGGAGCTATCTGAGAATCGAGATCCATCTTGCGATTCAAGAGACTTCTATATGCCGACTCCTCTCGCGCAATTTGATCAATGGTGGGATGAAAGGCGGCTGGGGCCGTGTCAATGGCTTTTAGACGGTCCTCGAGCTCGGGCAATTTGTTGGAGAGAGCTTTGATTTTTCTTTGCAATTCCACGTTCTGTCGCGGCAGCTCGGCCGAAGGCTTGAACTTCCAGCCCTGCAAGTCACGTAGCAGATCTGCAATGGCGATTTTCTCCGCATCCACGTGAGATTGAAGATCTGTCAGGCGGGCACGCCTCTCCTCTGCCTCCTGCGCCTGTGCCTGGAGTTGGACAAGCGTGACGCCGAGTTCATGAGGTGTCGGCTGAGGGTTGCCGAGATCAACGGAGAGCGACGCCAGTGCATCGAGGGCATTACGTCCGTCTTGGGGCAGCGCTTCTTCGATAGCCTCGAGGAGGTCCGATTGCATTGAGGCATGGTCAGCACCTCGATCGGCGGCCTGCGATAGCTCCCTGCGGGCAGAGGCCTCGGCGCGCGCAAAGAGCTGACGCTCCTCGTCTGCGGTTTCATTGAGGGTCGCCAGAGAGAGCAGAACCCTGAGCGTGTCAGGGTTGCGCTCGAAGGACGGGGCGGCCCGGCCTGGGAATTTGGAGGCTAGCCATGTGTCAACGAAGGACCAGTCTTTTGCCGTTGACGCGGCGATGCGTGCGACCGAGGGCGAGAAGATTGCTGCGTGGTCAAGATGGGCCATGGTGATGATGCACCCGGCATCGCACTCCAGCGTCGTGGGTCAGTGGTTGGTGACTGGTACCAAGCGGGTGGGCGAGCACGCGTCGATGCGTGCGACATCTTCTGAGATTGATATGAGCGAGTGAGCGGCCTAGATTGACGCGGAGGATGAAGAACAGGGGCCCCGCATCTGAGCTTCCCATGTCACCCGCAACTGCCTACAAGTACCTACCCACCTCGGGCTTGTACCTCCTGCCAGCTGTCCGCTGGCTGCTGCCCCACGCTAACGACTCCCTGTTCACTGTGTGCACCATACAGTGTGAGCCGAGCTAGCCAGGTTGGGATAAGGACACTTCTTGCTTCAAGGGTCTACTTCGCGCATCCAGGTACCAGGACCCATTTGAACGACGGAACTTCGCACGACACCTTGCCGCAACCATTCGGACAACTGTCCAAAGCTCGTTGGTCTTTTGCTGCCTCTTGCTTTTTTTTCTTACACCTCAATTGCGTATCTTTTCGCAACTCCGCAGAGGCAGCAGTCACCCCCTCTATCGCCTTCTTTTCTACTCCTCTGCTCTGCCGCCATTGCTACCGAGCCCTCTCGCCATGCACGTGAACATTTCAACCCTCGCCGTCGCGGCGGCTCTGTTCGCCACACCCCTCGTTTCTGCTCTGAGTGCCGAAAGTATCCCGTCCGATCTTCCTGTCTCCGAACTCCTGTCCTCGGCGCAATCTCACCTGTCCAAGGGCGAGACAAGCGACGCCCTCCTCTACTACGATGCCGCTGTGGCCCGCGACCCCTCCAACTACCTCACGTTCTTCAAGCGTGCCACCACCTACCTATCGCTCGGCCGAACCTCACAGGCCACTGAAGACTACAACAGGGTACTATCCCTGAAGCCTGATTTCGAGGGCGCTCACATCCAGCTCGCCAAGATCCGCGCCCGCAGCGCCGACTGGGAGGGCGCAAAGGAACACTACAAACTGGCCAACAAGGATGCCGCCTCGCCCGAGCTGGCGGCCCTCGACGAGGCTCAAGGGGCAGCTCAGCTGGCCCGAGGGCGCCGAGAGGGGGGCGATTTCGAGACGTGCGTTCACCAGGCTGGAGAGGCGATCATGACGGCGAACCGGGCTGTGTACCTGCGCGAGCTGCGCTCGCGCTGCCGTTTCGCGCGGGGTGAGGTCGAGGAGGGCATGGGTGATCTGCACCACATCCTCCAGATGAGGCCTGGCGATACGACCCCCCACGTTACCATCTCGGCCAACACGTTCTACGGCCTCGACGACCTGAACAACGGCATGGCTCAGATCAGGAAGTGCCTGCACTCGGACCCGGATTCGAAGCCCTGCAAGAAGATGCTGAAGCAGCAGAAGGTCATCGACAAGACACTGACTAAAGTCGCCAAGGCCTTTGAGAAGAACCAGCCCATGACGGGCGTCAAGATGTTGATCGACAATGGCGAAGACGCGGGTCTGATCACCAACATCAAGTCGCAGGTGGAGGAAACTCAAGCAGGATGGTACCATACCAGCGAACGCCCCATCGGCGCTGTACATGAGGGTCGTCGACTTGGCGTGCGAGGGTTACTACGAGGTTCGTCACTTTCTTGTGACCTGCGTTCTGTATCGCGTGTTTTCCGTGCGTGTGCTAACCTATCGCGAAGCAGATGAACAGCAAGAAAGACGAAGCAGTACTGCGACAACGCCCTGGCCCTGAAACGAACAATCCTTTTACGGTCTCCTCCACCGTGCGCGCGAGCAGATGGACAAGGAAGAAATTCGAGGACGCCGTCCGGACGCTCGAGGAGGCCAAGAACGTCAAGCCCGAGAAGCAGAACATTGTGCGCCCGCTCCAGCAGAAGGCGCAGATCGCCCTCAAGCGCAGCAAGACAAAGGACTACTACAAGGTCCTCGGCGTCACCAACGACGCCGACGCGCGCCAGATCAAGTCGGCCTACCGCAAGCTCTCCAAGCTGCACCATCCCGACAAGGCGCACAAGCAGGGCCTCACCAAGGAGGCGGCCGAGAAGAAGATGGCCGCCATCAACGAGGCCTACGAGGTCCTCAGCGACCCCGAGCTCCGCGAGCGCTTCGACCGCGGCGACGACCCCAACGACCAGGAGCAGCAGCGCGGCAACCCCTTCCAAGGCAGTCCCTTCGGCCACCCGTACATGCACCAACAAGGCCCCGGCGGCGGCGGCAGCCAGTTCAAGTTCCACTTCGGCGGCGGCGGCGGCGGCGGCTTCCCCTTCTGATCTCCTCTGTGCAGCATTTTGAAATTTGGGGGGCCATGAGCGGAACACACGCAGCGCAATGCGCCACGGCGGTGCGCGCGGGAGCGTCAGGAGTTTGTGGAGTTTGATTCTGTTGCAGAAGTAGGCCGTACATACACGTTGAACCTACACGCCAGTTGGCGTTCATGGTGAAAACTCTAATCCAACCGACTGGTCGGACAAGTTCTTGTAGGACAGTGGACGTGAACAGCTGTCGCTTTTGAACATGGAGCCATCATGTGGAGATTCAACTCTTTCGAGCAGGGACGTCAGGTGCTTCGATAACCTTTTCTGAAAATTGGCTCGTATTTGGTCTGGCCCATGTGGCCTCAACGCTCACGTGTTGTCATGTCACCCAACGACACCCAACGACACTCTAGTTGAGTTATGTGAAGGGTACCACGCGGCAGGTAGCATCGCTCAAAGAGCGCATCTATGACGCTTCGATTGACCAAGGTTGATTTCCCACAACCCCTCAGATTACACACATAATATTTACACATTGACCGCCGCGAGCTGCGCGTGATGGATGATCATGATGGCGGCCTCTCCCGTCGTCCCCCTCCTCTCTGCCTGCGATGTCCACAATGCGCCGCACATGACGTGTGGTCCTCTCCTTGCCGTTGATGCCATGCCTTCGTCGTTGGGTGGTGTTGTACTCGGGGTGGGCAGCATGCTTCGGCACATCAGATGCGCTCTGTGACTTCTCTTGAGACCGTGCTGTATCAACTTTGCAACCTAAAGGTGAAGGCAAGGATCCATCGTCGCCAAAGCCCTGACACCCGTCTTTCGTCGGGAATCCAGGTGCAATGTGCGGAATTGAGCCGTCAATGCACCTCCCGAACCTCCACCCCCCGACTCAGCCCTGCTAGAGGTAGGATGACCGCCTTACAGCGTATCGTTGCGACGAATGAAGTAGGCTCTGGAATCTGGTTAGCTGGCCAATCCACATATACACAAGAGGAGCGAGGATCACGTACTTGGAGGCCTCGTACGCTGACCAGCAAATGGCCGTGCTGGGCATGGTCGTAACGACACGGGGACCGATTCCCTTAAAGAAGCCTCGTGGGCCCTCGCGGCGCAGAAGCAGCCGGCAGCCAGCCATGAAGCCGTTGACTGTCCTTAGCTCGGGGTCCGTGGCGGTGCCTCTTGTCTGCAGCATCGTCTTGATGACATCCATGGGTGTGGTGAGCGCAGCGGCGAAACCACCGGCCACACCACCAGCCACACAGTGCGTTGTCGGGTCGTAGGTCTTGTCCGGATTCATCGTCGTGGAGATTGACTCGTAGGCGAGGAACTGCAGCGCGGTGAAAGGCACTGTCATGGAGAGCGTCGTGGGGTAGGACACGTAGAAGGCGCCCAGGCCCTCAGACTTGTAGACGTATCGTGCGCAGTCGGTCATGGATCGGTACATCTTGGCCGAGTTCTGGATCTGCATGCGCTGCTTGATGACTGTAGTAAACCGACGAGGTCAGTATGTCTTGCCGCCAATTGCTGAAACAACCAAGCTCATTAAATGGAGACGAGTCGTACCATCAAAGGGGTTCATGAGGGCATCACTGGCAATGGTCGCGCAAGTTCCGCTGGTCGCTGCCGCCAGAGGGTGGTGCACACCAGCCTGGTTGCCGCCCATGACATGCTTGACGGCCTCGTACGTCGCAAAGTAAACGGCGTGCGCGGGCCCTGCACCTGCAACGACGCTGGACATGCCTCGCCAGAGACTGAGAAAGCCTTCTCCGGTGGCCATCTTGTAGGTTCCCTGGATGACTCCATTGTACGCGGTAGACGCTGTAGGGTTCAGGACCTGCATGCGCGTCTTGATGGCATCGATCGGGTACATGACGGTGTGCTCCTGGCGATGCTATTAGTACTGGACAACTCGACAAGGTCGTCCTCCGGACGGGCAAGGGCGCCACGTACTGCTATGCCTGCAAAAGCCCCTGCAGCCATATTTTGGAGCAGGGAGAAGTTGGGTGGCAGAGATTCATAGCTGGAATGGACATCATGTCAGCACAATCGTTCGCATTGCGATAGACCGTCGTTGGCAGGGCGCACTCGTATTCTTCCTCGACCGGCTCGGCAGTTGGCTGGGCCATTGCGGCCACAGCTTCGGGCGCTTCGCCGAAAGGCTTGGGCTGGAGAGCCGCCAGGGTGACGGCTGGGAGGATGTAGGAAGGGGTGCGATGAATGTGGTCGTCGAGGTAGGACGTGCTCTTTCTGCGACGGTGTTCGTGAACAGCCAGTCGAAGGATTGCAGGCGCGATGAAAGAGGCAGGCGTGGAGGTCGGGGACGGACCGGCGATCGTTTCTTGCAAATGGTATAGAAGTACGATCAGCCGTCAAGCAAAAAAAGGTGATAAGGACGTATCCAGCAGCTCCGGGGGGGCAAGTGCGTGAGTTTACGTGTCAAATGTACACTTTCGCTTCTGGCTGTTGAGGTGAGCCAGGTACGGTACACGACTCATCAACGAGAGCGAGGGAGGCGGCCGAAAAAATTCAAAGCTGATTTGCGGCGAGCTGCGAGCTGCGGGCTCGGAGATGGGCCTCGCCGGGCCGTGCTTGGGGGGATCAATGTACCTATCATGCTTGCTATCGTGCAGGTATACATTCCTGCGCCAACCTACCCACCCACTAACTCCGCCATCTGATTAGCACCGAGGCCCCCCACACGTACGCACCTACGGAGTCACGCCTAGTGCACCTATTGGGGTTTGGGCACTGAGCCTCGGCGCTGCTGTTCCAGTGTTACCCGCGTCAATGACCGTGTCATTATTACCAAGTTCAGATTCGTGGGTGTCCGTCCTCGGAGATACGACTTTCTTATGAGCAGGCAGAATAATATCTATTTCGACGGAGTAGCGAATGCTAGACAGCGCGGGACTACTCGCCCCTAATGTGTCGCCTCGGTTCACCGGTTCACTGAAATCGAGCGCTTCCTCTGCCAAAGAGAAAAGAAAAAGGAGTTGCCCTCAGCCTTGACATGGGGAGTATAATACCCCTGCACACACACTCGACATAGCAAAAGAAGGATCTATAGACTACTTTGGAGCAGTCACCCAGGTCAGCAGTATCAAATACATCACGCCCCTCCTAGCCTATTGTTGCGTTGGGCTTGTTGGAATTGCTGGATCAACCCCAGCACGCCAGTATCTGGCTCCCGCGACAAAGCCCCGCTACTCTCCCTACTCAAGTTCTTGGCGGGTGAGGTCTGCCAAACCGACTCGCCAAGCGGTCCACCCGCTTCATCTTCATCTTCACGCTGAGAATAGGATTGTAATTGCGAGCTCAAGCCTTCTTCTGTGGGCTCTTCGCGGATACCACGCTCTGGTGGGTGTTCGCCACGATGCTGTCGACCTTTGATGCCGTACGTGCTTCGCACATTTAGGTTTGTACCTGAAGGCTGGTGATGAGGGTCGAGCAGCATCGATGCCATGGGGGAAGGTGCTGTCATGGACGCTCCGAATCGAGGCGTCCTCGCCGGATGGCCCAGGCCCCCTTGAAGGCCACGGCTGCGGCCTGTTTCGCCTCGCCCCTCTCGCGAACCCGGGATCTCGGCTACCAGATTCGGAGAGTTGAGCCCTGGGAACGCCGGGGGCGGGTGAAATTGCTGCCGCATGCTAGGCGGCACGTGGCCACCCGGCATGCCCGTCTTGGGGTTGATCACGTAGTTCTCAAGAAACCCGTAATATGATGCAGCCATCTTACCATGCTTGGTTGTGTAATAATCCTCGCGGACGTCTTCGACTCCAGCTGTGGGTCTTTGATTCCCAAGGCCTCTCCTAAAGTCGAATTCGGCAAAAGAGCATACGTACCCCAACCCATCGACATGGATCGTAAATTCTCGAACGAAGTCGATTATTTGGTCACTGCTTTTGGGGGCGGAAAAAAGCAGCACAAACGATGCTAGGAAGATGCCCAGGATCTCTTCCGCGAGAATCACGACCTTGAGCTTATAGAGTTCGGAGAACTCTTGCTTCACATCAAAGCTGTGAAGTCGCCCATGCCAATGGTCTGGCATATGATGAGTAAAGTCCAGGACGCCCTTCAGCGCAAATTCGGGGTCGAAAACTGTAGTCTCCTCTGATATCATACCCCTGGCGAGAGCCCAAATGGTGCCGAAAACTCCGATGTAGAACAGCGCCGTCCTGTCCTTGGTGATTTCGAACCCAAGGAATAGCTCCGGGTCGAGGAATGAAGCTGCGGCGAGTGTGAAGGTAATGGCGCCAGACATGAAGGTAACAGACCTTGCTACTTGTTCTACGAGCCGCTTCGGAAATTGGTCGATATATCGGCTTGCAAATGGGTATGACATATTGATTCGTTCTTGAAATAGATGGGGTAGTTCGTTGAACTCGCGGAATTTCCATCTGGCCAAGGCTGTATAACGGCGATCACCGAGCGTGGCCGAGTTTTTCTTGTACTCCTATTCAAGGTTGTCAGTAGGTTACAGCACGCACAAGTTGGGTAAACAAACATTGTAATAATTGAGTAGATGAATCACCGTCTGATAGCCTATCCAGAATGGCGTACAAAGCAGGTTGAGTAAACCGGCACAGACAAAACGATCCCGTAGCTTACGGCTGAGCAAGCCTCGTCGATCTGCTTTCAAAAACTCTTGGTTGACTTGGCCACTTTGGTCAAAGATAAGGTCAATGACGCTGAAGTAAAGCCACCACTGGAGCGTTCCGGAAAAGAATTGACGGTTTTGCATGAACGGGATTGGTAAGGTCATGTCCAGAACGTCCTTGTTGATCATGGCGATGAGATAGTTGTCTTTCCGCATGAGACGGCTGGCGATGTCAACAGCATCCAAACGTTCTTTTGAATGCGCGCGGATCCAGTCTCGCTGTGTCCGGGTCATGTTCAGTGCCGTGTTCGGATTGGCATCTCTGAGAGCCATGATGCGTGCAACAATGTCTTGCCACGAAACAGTTTGCATGTCTTGCTCAGGAATCTCCAAGAGATGGACATAAAAATTCCGCATGGTAATCAATCGACGAGTGTCGACAGAGAATTGAACTGCCTTCCAGATGAAATAGAAGACGAATAGCCACAGTCCTAAATTCCAATACCACGACATCTTCTTAGTACACTGAGGGGTGATGATTTGTGACAGTGAGCTACTCCCAGGCACCTTGTTGTATTCAATGCATTGCGTAAGGAAGGTGAGGAAAATCGTGATAAACGTAGATTGCCTAAGAAATGTTAGCCTTCTTCACGTGTATGGTACTTGGGGTCGAATTCAAGACTTACACAAGGTGCAGAGCGCGCTCGCACAAGATGCACCAAAACCCGCTGCCAAGGTAGTATTCATAGACATCCCTCATGAAAAAGTCAAGGTTCGACACGTTTATCCACCTCCAAAGTGCCTGTTCCCTGGGGCTACCTGAAACCACTCCACCAAGAGCGGTTGACGGTTTGGCCCCAGGCGATCGG